GGGATGGGATGGGAGGGGATGGGATGGGAGGGGATGGGATGGAGGGGATGGGAGGGGATGGGATGGGGTGGGGTGGAGGGGATGGAGGGGATGGGATGGGATGGGATTTTTGGGCATAATGGGATGGGATGGAGGAGCAGAATGAGGGTGGTGGGGTAGAAGAGGGATGGGATGGGATGGGATGGGATGGAGATGGGACGGAGATCGAAACGGGATGGGATGGGAGATGTGGGGACCACAGGTGTGGGGATGTAGGATGGGAGATGTGGGCATATGGAGATGGGGGTGTGGGATGCAAGGTGTGGGGATGCAGAGATGGGGAGGTGGGATGTGAGGTCATGGGGACCACAGGTGTGGGGATCTGGGATGTAAGGTGTGGGAATACAGGGTGGGGATGTGAGGGGTGGGATTTGGGATGTCAGTTCAGTGGGGATCACAGGTGTGGGGATCTGAGATGCGAGGTGTGGGGATACGGGGACAGGGAGATGGGATGTGAGGTGTGGGGTTGGGATGTGAGGTCATGGGGACCACAGGGTTATGGGGATGTGGGGCTGCAAAGGATGAGGATGTGGGATGGTGGGAATCACAAACGGGGGGGGTTTTGGGGATGCTGGGTACGGAAGTGCAGGGAGAGGGGTGTAGATGTGGGGCTGTCACTTGTGGGATTCCAGGCATGGGGACAGCAGGAGGATGGGCAGGGAGATATGGGGATGGGGGGCACAGAGGTGTGGGGTTGCTGTGTATGGGGACGTGGGGATGGGGGGCACAGGGAGGCAGGGATGGGGGCACCAGGGACAGGCGTGTGCTGGCTGTAGGGACGGGCAGCCAGAAGGACCCCAGAAGGAATCCTTCGCTTCGCCCTTTGCTTACCGTGTTCCCCAAATTCCGGAGACCGACGTGGCCGGATCCCAACAGCAGAGCGTGGTGGGGGGTCTGCAGGAACACAAAACCAGCTCCATCGCTGTCTCCCCCCTCATCAACCCCCCACCCTCAGCACTCAAAATAGGGCGATTCCTCGACCCCCCCCCGTTACCTCGCCGCTCACGAGGAGCAGCCCCAGCACAGCCGTGTGCAGCACCGACTCGGAGATGTCGGCACCCCGAGGCTGCAGCTGGCGGCGGGGCAGGAGGCTGCGCTGCAGCTTTTGGGGCAGCTCCACCAGCGGGGCGCCTTGGAGGCCGGGCATGGCTGCGGGATGGGGGCGCGGAGGCAGCGGCACCTCGTTAAGCCGGCGCTCGTTAGCTCTGATCCGATTTCCCTCGGCTATTCTGGGCCGGGCGGAGGGGCTCAACTCGGGCGGGGGGATTAATGAGAGGTAGAGCCACCTCGGGGACGACGGGGGAGCAGAGGAGAACAGGAGCTGTGGGGACGGAGCCAGGAGGCTGCGGGGTCCCCATGGCGCTGCTGTGGGTCCCGGCGGCGCCACCGAGGGGGGACAAATTCTGTCCTGTTTGCTTTGCCAAAGCTCCAAGCTTTCAGTGCTCCGAAACCCCGCGGCAGTGAGGAAACAGCCTCAGAGCAAAGGGATCCCCGACCCCAACCCCATAGAGGGGTGCAGGAGCCCCAGAGCGCAGCACGGGGTGAGGAAATCCCCCCAGAACAGAAGGACCCCCAGCCGGCCTGGGCTGGTGTTCAATGGGGACGTTGGTGGCCCTACGTGTGGCAGAGGGGGGTTGGAGATTGGTGATCCTTGAGGCCCTTTCCAACCCCGGCCGTTCTGTGACTCTGTGACCCAACCCCCCCAGAGGGGCTCAGGAGCCCTAAAGAGCAGCGGGGGGGGGGGGGGGGGAGGATGAAATCCCCCTTAAATAAAGGGATCCCCCAGCAAACCCCCCAAGCAGAGCTCAGCACCCCCAACTCTTACAGCTGCCACCTTCTCCTCGGGCGCTCGGCCCAACGTGGGGCTGCGGGGCGCGGGGCCGTCAGGGGGGTCGGGGACACGAGTCCTGGCGCAGCCCTCGTGGCGCACAGAGAGCAGCGGGGCGGCGCTTCTGCCATCCAGCCCCGCTCCGACGTTGACCCTCCGTAGAGACGAGCTCCTTTTTAGGGCCAGAGCCCCGGCGCTCAGCGGCTGCCCCCCATCCCTCAGCACCAAACGGCTCAGCGCCGCCGCCACGTCCTCGCCGCTCAGATCCCCGATGCTGACGGATTTGGACCGGCTCAAATTGCTCCTCCTCCTTTCGGTTCCGATGGGTAAAGAGAAGGAAGCTCCTCCCGGCGCCGTCCCTGCCTGCGGGGAGCCGGGAACCCTCACCCCGTGGTCCGCTTTTAGGGGTCCCCTTCGGCACGTTGAGCCCCGTTTGGTGGCTCGGCCGCGTTCCGGGTCCGATTTCTTGCTTCGTTCTTCCAACGTTCCGGGTCTGGGGGGGAGGAGGCGAAGTTTTGGGGCTGGAGAAAACCCGTTTGGGGCTGAGGTGAAGGAATGGCGCTCCTGGCTCAAGGCCCGGCCCGGCAGCTTGGAGGCGCTTTTGGGTTGAGCGGTGACGACGGTCGGATCGCGGGCACGACCCAAACGGTGCTCCGAAGCTTGAGGCATGGCTGGGAGGAGCCTGGGGGGGGGATGCGCGGGCGCGGGGGGGGGGGGGGAAGGGGGGCTGCGCCCACCTCAGTGCCCCCCGAGGAGCGCGGCAGGGCAGAGCGTCCCGTCGGCGGGGGCCCTGTGGCACAATGAGAGGGGATGGGGAGCCTTAGGGCCACGCGCCCTGGGACCCGGCCTCCTTGTCCCACCTTGTCCCCCCTTGGCCTCCCTGTCCTCCCCCACCCCACGTCCCCCGCTGCCCCCCAATGGTGACACCATTCCGCGCCCCATGTTGGCGTCGGCCTCCATCACTGGTGGCACCGCTCCGTGTTCCGTCTCAGCACCGTCCCCCATTAATGCTGACCCCATCCCACCTCCCACCTGGCCGCTGTCCCCAACCAATGGTGGCACCGTCCCCACTTAACGGTGACCCCGCTCCCTGTCCCAACTCAGCGCAGTCCCCAATGAATGCTGACCCCATTCTGTCTCCCACCCGGGCTCTGGCCCCAACCAATCCTGGGCCCCACTTCATGGTGACCCCATCTCAAAAACCACCCCCTGATCACCAC